TTTCACTTGCATCAAACACTTCCATTTCAGGACCCTTGCACATGCTGGTCTTTCTGACTAAACCAGGCTCAACCAGTGAATTCTCACCCCTCAAAACTCAGCAGGCAGGGAGGAGGGAGGAAAAAGGGAGGCAGCTGGGAATGAAATGGACTAAATTATGTTGTATGCATATAACTATATAACAAATCCCATTGATATGTATAATTATAATGCATCAATATACATTTTTAAAAATTAATAAAGTATTAAAAAAGAAAAACTCAGGCCAAATGTCACTTCCTGAGAGCTTTTTCAGACCAGGTCAGAACCCCCTCCCACCCACCACCCACCTGGCTCTATCCAGACCCAGGACATGTCTTCCACCTCCCTGAACCTCCCCTTCCCAGCCTTTATCTGGCTGCTTCTCTCCTGTTGTCCCCAGCTCCCAATGCAGCCCAGTATGATACCAACTGCTGTCCCCTTCATTTCCAGTATTCCGTCCCCATCAGCTCGATCTTGAAAACACATCAAGGCCTGGGTTCCGTCCCCAGTACTAATACACACACTTTAGAACGAACGCATGAGCCATATCATAAACAGCCAGGGTATATATTATATCTAATCTACAAATGGAAAAACTGAGACCTGCACTATACATAGATCCTAAATTGAGAATTGAGAAATTCTTTTGAAATAGAGAAACTATTTGGTTCAAGGATGCAGAATCTGTAATCTCAGCAGCTTGGGAGGCTGAGGCAAGAGGACCACAAGCTCAAAGCCAGTCTCAGCAATTTAGTAAGGCCCTAAGCAACTTAGCAAGAACCTGTCTCTAAACAAACATAAATAAATGAGGCTGGAGATGTGGCTCAGTGGTAGAGCACGCCTGGGTTCAGTCCCCAGTACCAAAAAAAAAAAAAGAACATGAAATACACTTTCCCAGCTCCACAGCAAACACACACCTAGGGCCAGGGCAGTCACCTTCAGGGTACCATCTACCTACCAGTGCCCCTGCCTTGGCCTTATACCTTATAAGTCTTTTTTTTTTTTTTCATTGTTTGAGGTGCAGGAAATTGAACCTCATATATGCTAAGCAATCTCTCTACCACTGGGCTATATATACTCCATCCACCATAATTCCTATTCCTCCCCCCTCCCCCAGTACGGGGGAGAGAACCCAGGAACTCTACCACTAAGCTTCATCCCCAGCATTTTTTGTTTTTTAAGAACGGTCTCACTAAGTTGCTGAGGCTGGCCTCAAACTTGTGATCCTCCTGCCTCAGCCACTGGAGTCTCTGGGATCACAGGAGTGTGCCACCATACCTGGCCTTAATTCCTTTTTTGACCCACAATGGCCAGGATAATTCACTGGGCTCCTCCTGCCAATATTTTATTATGAGACTCTTCATAGAAAAAAATTAAAAGAATTTCAGAGTGAGCAGCCAGATGGCAGCAACCTAGATCTTACAATTAACATTTTTGCTATACTTGCTTAGGATAACCTCTTAAATTTAAGAATCAGGTTTTCTCACTGCCTTATTTAAAACCGATCACTCCTTTGTCATTCAGAGTAAAGTTGTTTACAGTAGCCCACAAGACTGCACACAATCTGCCCCTGCCCAATTCCACCCTTGCTCCCACCTCACTATTCTAATAGCAGTGGCCTCCTTGCTACATTCAACATACCAGGCTCCGTCCTACCTCAGGGCCTTTGCTTATTGTTTCTTCTATCAGATGCGTCTTCTCCCTGATCTTTATATATCAAAGCATCCTTTTTGTCATTCCCACATTGGCTTCAATGACACCTGCTCTTGAAGGTCTTTCCTGGCTACTTCCCTCAATCACATCAGCCCACATTACTCTGCCTCATCATGTGTCATACAACCTGAGCTCCATGAAAGCAGGGACCCAGCTTACTTTGTTCAGGGCTGTGGCTGGGGGCTGAGTACAGGCCCAGCATACAGTAGGCATAATGCATTTTTCTTGAATGAATAAAAGGTACTCTCAAGTCACATTCATCTCTCTCCTTTCCCTCTGTGGTCACTGGGCCATGGCAGGGGTTGACCCCATGGTTCCCAGGTCCTCAAATCTGAGGTGAGCATTCCTGGACTCACTGCCGTGCAGCTGCCCACCTTGAGCACCAGTTTGCTGGCAAAGTAGAAAAGGGCGACAACCCGGCCCCAGTTGAAGTTGCCGTCAGCAAACATGTCAGCTGCCACTCGGAAAAAGACCTCTCGGGGGGAGTCTGTGTCCACAGCTGCAATCATCCTGCAGGAAAGAGGAGTATGGATGCTGGGGAGGCAGGATCTGGCAGAGGGTAGAAGTTACAGCATCCACCCCATACTGAAGGCAAGTAAACTGAGACTCCAGCCAGTCTGAAATGGAAAGCACAGGCACATGGGGGCTGGGGACGGAACAAGATGGAACATATAGGAAGGAAGGAAAAATGACTCCCTGAAGGAAGCTTTCAAGATGGAGTGAGTGGCAGGGAATGTCTGAGTTGAGTGGTGCAGCCGGGACTCTCAGTTCCTAAGGGGGAAACAAGGGTATGGGGCTGTGGTTCCTAGGTTATGCCACAGGGGGAGACCCTTAGCTCAACTCTGGGTCCCCAGGAGTCACACCTCTGAAGCTCCATGTTACTGTCTAGTTCATCACCGATGCGCTTCAGACACTCGCTCAGCTTCTTGGTGGAAGCATCCTGGGGCACCTGCTCCAAGGCCAGCTCTGATGTGTCCCCCCCCATCCGACCTGCTCGATCCTGGATGAAACTATAGGAAAATGGAGGGAGTGCAGAATCAGAATGGGGTGTCACTCCCCAAATCTGCTCCACAATAATCAGACCTCAAACTCACCCCTGAAGCAAAAGGGCCCCTGTCTTCATGATCTGCTCAGAGCTGGTGGGCCCTAGAGGAGAAAGGAGGGAAGAGGTGCCTGGACTCTTGGGTCCTAGGGGATCAGGACACTGGGATGGCTCACGGTCCCTGAGGGAGGGCAGAGCTGAGGGCCTGGACTCCTGGCAGATAAAGTGACTGGGAGACCAGCAAGTGAGTCTCTCAAAGGAGACTGGTAAGTAAGGAGCCTGGGCCTGTGTCCTACATTCTTCCGGGAGAGGAGGCGGGGGGGAACACTCAGGGCATCCAGACCCCTAGCCTGAGGGGGCAGAAGTGAGACCCGTCCCTCCCGGCGGGCCAGAGGCAGGAAGTGGTGCCCGCGACAAGCCCGGGCCTGCCCGGGGGGCTTGGGCTCTAGGATCCGCAGGGTTTGGGGGATCCGAGAGCGCCAGGAAGGAAGAGATCGGGGCGCGGAGGCCAGCTAGCCGGGAAGCTCCGAGGAGGGAGGGGGCTGGAGGCTGGCAGCGCCCGATCCGGGAGTTTGTGTCCCCGAGTGCTAGGAGATCGCCTGGCCCCAGGGCGGCGGCAGGATCCCTGGCCAGCCGGCAATGGGACTCGCCCTCCTCCCCAGCCTGCATCCCGCCTCACCGCCTCCTCTGGGCTGCTCCCCGGACCCGTCCATCACCGCCACCGCCGCGGCCGCCTCTCGCCGGGTCCGCCCGGGCAGCCGCAGCGCGCTCTAGTCACGTGAGCTGCCCGATGAACGTGCGTCCTTCACGTGGCCGCCCCGCAAAATGGCCGCTGCCCCGCAGGGTGCTGGTCACGTGACGGCATGTATGGGGCGTGGCCTGTGTCACGTGGCTCGTCGGCACCGCCCATTAAGAGCTGGCCGTGGTACCGCTCCACTCGCCATCGTCGCCTGCATTGGTTCATTCAGGCAAGTTGCGGGGAGAGTTTGCGCCCCCCGCACCACAGAACAGCAAGTGCCAAGGTTCGGAGGCCGGAGTAGCGGGCATCCAGGCAGAAGTTGAAATGACTGAAGTCCTGCGAGTCCTTACGTCTTCTGTGAAAATTAAAGGAATATGAAGTTCAAAAAGTGGCCAAAACTGAAGGATGATAACAGATCTCGGGGTATGGGAAGATCAGACCTGCCCTCAGTCCATGCCCCTGGGTCTCTGCATAGGGTAGCTCACAACCTGGCAGCTGGCTTCTTCATCAAAGTGAACAAGTGAGTAAGAGAGAGGAAAAAGTCCAGGGAGGACCAAAGTCATTGTCTGTTATAACTGAACCGTGAAAGGAACACCCCCTCACTCATGCCTTCAAAGAACTATCAGTAGGCCTGGTGCACTCACATAGAAAGGGGGTTACACAAGGGACTGTACTCACTGCTACTAAGAAGTTAGACATTGCCTAGAGCACAGACTTAACCCTCAGAACCAAAAAACTTTAAAAACGAAGAGAGGAAACAATAGACAGTGTGCTATGTGGCTAGGATGTGATATTTAATAAATTAGGTATATTGTATGTGTGTGCTTGTGACACTGTGGATTGAACCCAGGGACATTCTGCCACTGAGCTACATCCCCAGTGTGTGTGTGTGTGTGTG